GTGACGTAATCCACGTATTACTAACTACGCAAAGTTCTACAGAAATTTGCAATTTCAACTTTCAATTGAAAATGTTGACATGATCCCACCATCTGATTAAAAAACAAAAGGCACAACTTTTATAGCCCATAGTCTCAGCTATAACATACCAACATTTGGGAGAACATAGAGCACAAATGAGCTAGATAGGGCTCAAAGATTAATGTCATGTAGATCCATGATTTGAACGAAATTGGCACCTCCCATAGGCTTAACACGCAAATTAAGCAAATCTGTCCAGTTAGCTTTAATCGCAATTTTCACTATGATGACGTCATCACAATGAAAAATAATGTGCAGTTATCTTGTAGATAATCGCCTCAACTACAAGATATCAACATTAGGAAGAGATTCAATAAATATATACAGAGATACAATCAATTTTTCAATAAATATGCTGACGTCATAATAATTATGCAAATTCGTATTTTGAGTTCCAAGGTCAATATGATGATGACACGATATACTTAATGGCCAAATGAGACATGAAATCACATCTCCCACTCATACTCTATCCGAATATGAACAAAAATTGAGGGTTCCCGTCCATTCCAAAGAGCCATAAGGGTTTTATATAGGCATGTTGTTGCCCATATATGCTATGTATTACAAGAGTTCGCGCACACGGACATTTATCTTGAACGGACGCTCATTCCCTTAATAATGGTCGTAAGGAGATAAACATGGTATCAAATTGTTCGGAAAATATGAGGAATACTGTGTCAAAAGATACCCGGGAGGAATTATTTTGCGTTCGGCCGTGACAAACGAAAACGCGCGCGCATGCGCGTGCGCGCGACTCTTTATAAAATGCCATTGCTAATAATGGCGTACGCGCGCGTTTTTGGACCTGAAATTGACCGGACTGATATTGACCTTGATCATGATAAATATGAATGAGAAGAAACTTTCCGTTATGAAGATATGATCATATGTTGATTTTCACAAAATGGCGCCTAGATAACGTTTTCAGTCAAGGTCAAGGTTGAAAACCTTACTGTGCTCTTTCCTCATGCCAATAAATATGTGTGCCAAATTTCAAGGCAATTGATTGAGCCATTTTCAAGTTATCCTGCTAACAAAAAAGTGGGTCAAAATAAGAAAAATATTCTAACGAAAACATAAGGTGTTCTGTATTACATACAGCCCACCTGATAAAGAGAAATCGTGACGTAATCCACGTATTACTAACTACGCAAAGTTCTACAGAAATTTGCAATTTCAACTTTCAATTGAAAATGTTGACATGATCCCACCATCTGATTAAAAAACAAAAGGCACAACTTTTATAGCCCATAGTCTCAGCTATAACATACCAACATTTGGGAGAACATAGAGCACAAATGAGCTAGATAGGGCTCAAAGATTAATGTCATGTAGATCCATGATTTGAACGAAATTGGCACCTCCCATAGGCTTAACACGCAAATTAAGCAAATCTGTCCAGTTAGCTTTAATCGCAATTTTCACTATGATGACGTCATCACAATGAAAAATAATGTGCAGTTATCTTGTAGATAATCGCCTCAACTACAAGATATCAACATTAGGAAGAGATTCAATAAATATATACAGAGATACAATCAATTTTTCAATAAATATGCTGACGTCATAATAATTATGCAAATTCGTATTTTGAGTTCCAAGGTCAATATGATGATGACACGATATACTTAATGGCCAAATGAGACATGAAATCACATCTCCCACTCATACTCTATCCGAATATGAACAAAAATTGAGGGTTCCCGTCCATTCCAAAGAGCCATAAGGGTTTTATATAGGCATGTTGTTGCCCATATATGCTATGTATTACAAGAGTTCGCGCACACGGACATTTATCTTGAACGGACGCTCATTCCCTTAATAATGGTCGTAAGGAGATAAACATGGTATCAAATTGTTCGGAAAATATGAGGAATACTGTGTCAAAAGATACCCGGGAGGAATTATTTTGCGTTCGGCCGTGACAAACGAAAACGCGCGCGCATGCGCGTGCGCGCGACTCTTTATAAAATGCCATTGCTAATAATGGCGTACGCGCGCGTTTTTGGACCTGAAATTGACCGGACTGATATTGACCTTGATCATGATAAATATGAATGAGAAGAAACTTTCCGTTATGAAGATATGATCATATGTTGATTTTCACAAAATGGCGCCTAGATAACGTTTTCAGTCAAGGTCAAGGTTGAAAACCTTACTGTGCTCTTTCCTCATGCCAATAAATATGTGTGCCAAATTTCAAGGCAATTGATTGAGCCATTTTCAAGTTATCCTGCTAACAAAAAAGTGGGTCAAAATAAGAAAAATATTCTAACGAAAACATATTAAGGTGTTCTGTATTACATACAGCCCACCTGATAAAGAGAAATCGTGACGTAATCCACGTATTACTAACTACGCAAAGTTCTACAGAAATTTGCAATTTCAACTTTCAATTGAAAATGTTGACATGATCCCACCATCTGATTAAAAAACAAAAGGCACAACTTTTATAGCCCATAGTCTCAGCTATAACATACCAACATTTGGGAGAACATAGAGCACAAATGAGCTAGATAGGGCTCAAAGATTAATGTCATGTAGATCCATGATTTGAACGAAATTGGCACCTCCCATAGGCTTAACACGCAAATTAAGCAAATCTGTCCAGTTAGCTTTAATCGCAATTTTCACTATGATGACGTCATCACAATGAAAAATAATGTGCAGTGATCTTGTAGATAATCGCCTCAACTACAAGATATCAACATTAGGAAGAGATTCAATAAATATTTACAGAGATACAATCAATTTTTCCATAAATATGCTGACGTCATAATAATTATGCAAATTCGTATTTTGAGTTCCAAGGTCAATATGATGATGACACGATATACTTAATGGCCAAATGAGACATGAAATCACATCTCCCACTCATACTCTATCCGAATATGAACAAAAATTGAGGGTTCCCGTCCATTCCAAAGAGCCATAAGGGTTTTATATAGGCATGTTGTTGCCCATATATGCTATGTATTACAAGAGTTCGCGCACACGGACATTTATCTTGAACGGACGCTCATTCCCTCAATAATGGTCGTAAGGAGATAAACATGGTATCAAATTGTTCGGAAAAATATGAGGAATACTGTGTCAAAAGATACCCGGGAGAAATTATTTTGCGTTCGGCCGTGACAAACGAAAACGCGCGCGCATGCGCGTGCGCGCGACTCTTTATAAAAGGCCATTGCTAATAATGGCGTACGCGCGCGTTTTTGGACCTGAAATTGACCGGACTGATATTGACCTTGATCATGATAAATATGAATGAGAAGAAACTTTCCGTTATGAAGATATGATCATGGCCCCGTATTATAAACCTTTTGACTTACCATAATAGTAACTCCCCGAGTTACTATTATGGTAGTTACCATCAATGGTAACTACCATCGGAGCTTAATATCCGTTGCATAAAACCGATATTAACTAATATAAGAAAAACCCGCGAATGGTCTTCTTGGACGAGCCAGAAATTTTAGCGCATGCGCAATACACGTCGTCTGCTAGATTATAGCCACTGAGATAAACACCGAAGACGGCTGCTGCCAATCTACAATTATCGCATATCGTACGTATTTCTTGACTTTAATCATTTTTATGTGTTAATCGAAATAGCATATTCATTCTGCTATACATATTGATAAATTTATTAGTACTGGCAATAAACTTGCATCCTTTACTCAGACAGTATTTGCCATCGTACTCGGGTTTAATTTTAATGTTTACGTCAGTCTCCGCAGCCGTACGTGCTTTCAGAAGCCAGCGGCGACTAGAGTACTGAGCTCCCCGGAGGAGCTGGGTAGCATAATCTGACATTCCACTACTAATACTAGCATGACTAGAGTGGGTGGTGTTTGAACATTCGTTTATCTACAATACCCGATGATTTAAAGTTGTTTAAGGGTAAACAACTTGCAATTACCTCATAGAGTCTAATATCATTCTAAAAATGTAAAATACTAGACTCTCAATTAGACATATCTAGATAAAATTAAGACTCTCGATAAGACAAGTCGATTAGAATTTCAACTTCATTCCAATTTCCAGTCTATAATTATAAAGACTCTCAATTATAATTTCAACTTTATTCAGCTTCAGACTAGTAGTAGATCTATAATTAGATACTACTTAAAATAGTATAGACCCTAGACTATGTCTAGTGTCACAATGTGTGCATGTCAAGTGTGAGAGCTGAGGGATAATTGGGCCGGCGATTGGGCCGGCGATTAACAGGGGCATGAAATATAACGATATACTGAGCTGTATAAACTATAATCTAGATCGACTACATGTAAGCAGGGAGTTGGAAAAGCCCCTCCCTAATGTAAGTTTGCGGGGGGGGGGGGGGAGTTTTTTATTTCTCAGACTCAAGAGTCGGACTGAGTAAGGTCTAGATCTATAAACCGAGTGTAGATTTACAGAACCCAATAATATTAACATGATTAAGTAGTAAACTATAGCATAGACTAGCTTTTACTCATACATAGATCTACATTGGTTGAAAAAGTAAATCTTTTACTATTATTAGTATTTTAGGCCCTAGTAATTGTCTATTGTGAGTATTGAGTGGTCTAGTCTAAGCAAACTCCTTAAACTTTAATTTATTTTTCAATTGATAAATAATAATAATAGTTATTGATAATAATAATAATAATAATAATAATATATTGTAAAATGCAGTAACTAAATGTAGAGTCTAGTCTATATTTAAAAGTTAAATAGTGGTAATTTAATTGGCAGGTTTTGGACCTATACTAGTAGAAATATTGAGATACTGCATGAGTCTATAGATCGAGGCCCTATACTGATCGAGTAACAAAACCGAACAACAATCTTGTGTTTAAAAGGGTTTGATACCGTCAAATTTGATTTAACAGAACTCATTTAAAAAAAAATTCTGGCTTCTCATTAGTTTTTTAATTTTGTTTCTTCATTCTAGGAAATGGTGAAACGCAGGCCGAATTTGACAGATCGGGATGTCCGCTGCCTGGCAGACTACGTGAAAAAGAACCGGCAAGCTTTGTTCGGCAAAGCGGGGAACTGTGTGGAAAAGGTTTGTAAAATCCAATGCAGATCTATTTAATAAAATTTCCAGGACATAACTATGATTTCGAATTTGAATAAAGAGTCTCTTTATCTAACTTATTTTAATTTTTCCTTCTTTCAACTTTTCTTCTAATAAGTATACCGAAAATGATGTTTGGGTTTTCATTTTTCCTGATGCCCAAGACAGAATGCAGTCCACTGTCTTTGGAGACAGTTGGATGCTACCATATGAGAGTATTCTTTCAAAATAAGTAAGGGTGAATTAATATGTTAATCATCTATTGCATATAATTAAAGCAAACTTGAGTAGGTTCCAATTTACATTGTACTTTTTATTCTTGAATTTGTAGATCAAAAAACGAAAAGAGGATGCATGGGCCCTAGGGCTCGTATCCCTAGAGGCCCAGGGACTCCAACCAGGTAGAACAGTAAAGGACTTGCGTCTTACCTGGAATGAAATGGCGGCTAAGGCCCGAAAGTACCGGGACGCAAAGAACAAGACAGGTAAATTAAGCTGTCTTTATTGTGTAACAGATAAAACTGTAAAAGGTACCTTTCTTTCATACTCCTTCCACATGTAATTTATCACCAATAGTTACCTGTGCTTTGGAAAAGTTAAAAAGTAAGAAAGCATTTGTGCAATAAAAAAACAAGTTTTTAAAATGGTGGGATTCCATCTGCTATTAGTATCTACTGTACCACCATAGGTCATCATAAATTGTACATGCATTAACAAATTATCTTTAATTTATCATATCAACATTCATGACTTAGGACAACAGCCTAGTGTTTGAATGCTAGGCTTTTTTTTATTTTTATTTCTCTTTAAAAAGATAGCATGCTTTGCATGGTATATCCTATTTCAATAAAAAATACTCTAGAGTAGCCTGTCAAGAAGAGTATTGAATTAGTAAAGGGGTTTATTATTATCAGGAGACTTGGTTGGTAGATTGGTGGTCTCATAATCCGACGACCTAGGTTCGAAACCATGTCGTCGATGCACTAGTGTCCTTTGGTATTAAGGCATTATTCCTCATTACCAAGGTCCCTTAGATAGGACCTAAAGTCGTCGGTTACTAATAAGCACTCGTGCTTTTTTAGCAGTCGGGTAAAATAACCACCACTAAACCGCAAATCACAACTTACACTTATTTGGTGTAGATTATTAACCATCACGACCTAATCCAAGATCTCTCTTTAACTGTACGATCGATATTAACATTTCGTAAAATTTATGGTAAGAAGTTAACATTTATGTCTTTGACTTTGGATCATTAGGAGGTGGACCACTAGTGGAATATAATGAGAAGCACGAGGCAGTACTGGAGGCAATGGTGGAGGAGAGTGTGGAGGGCATTCTGGGGCCAGAAGAGGAGGCTGGATACCTAGCTCTCCCTTCGAGCCAAATGTCACAGGTAAAATTTGTAGAATTTGATTGACCCCCTCTCTGGGTATGAGAGTACAAACAAACATAAAAATATACATGACTTGTGAATATGTACATCTTTGGTTTAACCCTAACTGAGCCAAGGGGGGGGGGGGGGGAACAAGTACCCCCACCCCCCTCCTCAACACTTTGCACGATATGTCTGCATCGCTGGCCGAAATCTCAGGGAAGGGGGCGGGGGAGCCCTTTCCCTAACTCTGAGAACTTCAAAAATACCCAGGCCTAATCAGGGTTTATCTTGAATTGTAGATGGTATTGAAATGCTTACCACTATATTACTTAATTTAGTTGACGACCTTCAAAGTGTCAATGTTATGTTGACCACCCTACCCCCTAACTCTATTTGAAAAATTTATCCCATTGAACATGAGATTCAAATGTGGCATGTATTTTTATGTGAGGCATTTTCAATACGGGTATATGGTAATTTTTTTGTTTAACAAAAACAAAATCCTCACTGATGGTGTACGGTACAACAATTTTTTTTCTTACATTTTTTTAAATATTTTTTTTAGGGGGGTGTTTTAAACCTTTTTTTCAAACATATTGATGATTAGATAAAACCCTTACTGACATTGTTCTCTTTTTATCACAGAATTTTAATAAATAAAATAATAATAACAACATTTAGACAGTATAGTTCTATAGTTCTTTAAAACTCAATCAAGGCAATCTTTATTGTTATATGCATACAGACAGCAGAAAATGCCATGGCTGTGGCCATGATGGTTAACACCATGGTGGGTGGCATATCTGTGCCGGCCCGGGACCCACATACCAGTACTAGTGCAGCCAGCAGTGCCGGACCACCAATAGACCAGCCTGTTCTAGTAGGGGATAGCACGGCCAAAGACACCAAAAAGCCAATCAGCTGTTATGAAGAGAGACTTTTGGAGATAGAGGAGGAAAAGTTATTAGTCATGAAGCGTGCGCTTCACGTTTTCGAATTATTTGTCTTTAATCAAAAAGAGGTTTAAAATTGTTACTTTGTTTGTTTTGCAAATTCCATGTTAATTTTGTTCTTATTCATGATAACTTTACCTTTCAGTATTCAAAAAGATTATATCATTGTGCATTTTGGAACTAAGGAAATTAGGTTTCCCAGAAATCTAATATGAATATGTCGTTATTAAAAATGAATTGACTATGCATGAGCGTTCCACGGGACCCCCCCCCCCCCAGTCAGGTTTGGATTAAATATGTGGCCTGCTTCTGAATAGAACAAATTACAAATTCAGGAGATAAACTCTTCCCATATATTATACTGTAAATTAACTGCATCTAAAGATAACAATGTTATGAGGCCAATCTTAAGGATATCTTACACACTTCATTGAAAGAGGGCCTTGAATATGATGTCACATTCATATACAAATTTATAAAACAATATGAATATTGGCAGGTCAGCAGAACATGCCCTAGCCCGGCGATTCCGTGAAATTTGAATTTTGGCTTGGTGCTACCTTAGCAATTAATCCCCCCCCCCCCGGTTGAATGCAGTACTGAATTGATTAAGATTCTCAATGCAAACAGAAGATTACTACCACTTGAGTTATATAGTACAAGTATACTTCAACAATATTGTCACAACTAAATAGTGCAGCAATAAAAAGAATTTATGTGTCAACTTATAGATGACCCAAAATGGTGTTTTAAAGCAGGGGAAGTCCACCCTAAAAATAAGTATGTTTGAATGATATAAAATATAGATAAACAATAAGGTCAGTGACAGTGAATGTTGAAAAAGATTCTTGGTTACAGTATATAGAAGTCTTCATCATAAAAATCTAGTGGAAATAATTGGCAATAATAGTGTTTCTGATGGCTAAGCCGTTGTCTACAATGTGGTCGTCCCTGTCTGGTTCGTGTTCATGTTGTTCAATACCAAAGTCTACTTCATCAGGCTGCTTCAAATCTTTAGCCACATTGTGTAATACGGCGCATGCAGTGATGATCTTGCACGCTCTTCTGGGTGCCATTTGCATACCATTCAGTAAGCACCTGAATTTGTGCTTAAGTTGGCCGTTGACTTGTTCGATTCTCACTCTCGTTGTAGCATGTGCTCTGCAGAGTAAAGGAATTGAAGTATAACAAATTAAAAACAAAGAATTATTGGGAAGTCTATTAGACTATGAAAATACATGTACATCTAACTACAGTGCTATACATCTAACCTATACATTGTCAAAAGGAAGTAAGTCACATATATGAGTAATTTTCTTGTTTACCTGTAGCTCTTCTGGGCCAAATGGTATTCATGAACACTCATCCTGCTAATTAAGAGATGTGATTGGCAAATTGACATCATGGTATTGCTTTGATGTCTAAAATGGCATACATTCATTCACTTTCTTTTTTAATTGTAGATACAAATATGCATTGAAATGTTTCTTGTAGTACATACCTATTGTAAGCCTGTTCTGCAGGAGTCCTTGGATTTAGCACTGGTGTCATCAGGTATGGTCTTAAAGCGTAACCCGAATCTCCAAGAAGTAGACCATGCTGTTGTAGATCTTCAAAAGTCTGTCCAACTCTGCTGTTCTGTATAAAGGAAGAATCATTATAAGAATGAACATAATATGGTAGAATAGGTGCCCCTTGACCTTTGATATTTATTGCATTCTCTTGCATATACACATTTTGAAAAATTATTAAAAATTGTAAGATCTTAGCTTCACAATTATTTTGTAGCATTTGTAACAAACATTTGACATCATTTTCAATGATTTACATGTATGTCAATATATGTTTTCATGGAGGCATTAAAAACAAAAGTGGGTTACATAGGAAATTTTAGAATAAAAATATTATGGATTTACCTGAAATATCCTGCTGTCGTGAGTGCTGCCTGGCCAGCGTGCCAAAATGTTTATGATCTTGTAATTGGTATCACAAATTATTTGGGTGTTGATGGAGTAATATCTTTTTCTGTTCATATAGACGTGCTCGCCAGGGCCCAAGGGAGCTCCATTTAGTCTAATGTGTGTTCCGTCGACCACTCCTATGACCTGGGGAAAGCCTGATATGTTGAAGAAATCCACTTGGGCTCTGTTGACTTCTTCCATCGTCGTTGGAAACTTGATTATCTGAAGTGTGAATTGGAGATGCAGAAAGAAAACAAAAATCAATAATTCCATGTTGCAGATCTTCATATGTTATGTATACAATACAAGTCTAATTCATGCGCAAACTTTTGAAATGTAAATTGACGTATATTTTATTCATCGTCATTATATTTATACAGCTATGCTGAAATTCACCAGAATTTATTATTATAGACAGAAACGATGTTATATCAAGAAATGTAATCTTTATCACATTGTAAATTATATGAATAAATATTTATCTCCTACGAATACATTTAATATTCAGAGAATTGGACATGAACTTTCTTTCTTTCAATCAAGTGTTGAGAAAAGTATGTGAAATATCTGAAGAAGTTTGTGAAGTGATTAAAAAAAAAATTATGAGAGAGAGTGCAAGTTTTCTTTGGCTGTACTCGAATTCATGAACATATTCATAGTTATGCTATTAATGGTGATGCAACTAACTATTCCTATAACTATCTATTCTTAAAAACTGATCTCTTTTCTTTCTATACCCCTCGTCTCTCTCTTCCCGGGCCTCTATATAGCTCTCTCTCTCTCTCTCTCTCTCTCTCTCTTTTCTCCTGTTATTTATTATTTACTTATTAGTTTATGCTTCTCCGGGGAGAATCTTGTTTGAATCTACGTTCTTCCTCTTAATATAATCATGACAGTTGTGTTTTTTTTTGTTTTTTTTGTCTTTTCATCAATCGTTATTATTATCATTTTCTTTATTATATATAGCAGTATTGTTTTACTATATTTTTTTTAAACCATTTTGTTGTGAGTTTTTTTTTTGTGACGGTAGTTTAATTATGTTGTATTTTTTACTGCTGTGTATGTGCATATAAATTTATCATTAAGTCTATTTGATATCTGTGCAAAAAGAGGAAATGATGAAATTGGAAATTGAAGACGTTAAAATATCTATCGATTGGCATATAGCTTTCCATACTCTGGGCTCAGCTGATTCAATTTAGAGTACGTATTATGTGTGCATGCAACATTTGCCTCTGCCTCTGGTCATGTGAATGTGATGAGAGACTCC